TATCTTCAAGAGATTTCTGAATTTTGGAACATTATTATTTTTTCTCTATATAGTGTTGATATGACAACTAGTAAATACCGTAAGTTTTGTAATACAAGCTATGTGTGGAAATGTTTAAATCATGTGTGTTACAACCAGTGTTGGGCAAGTTACTCTGAAAATGTAATCAAATTACTAATTACTGATTACTCCTTTTAAAAGTAATCACGTTACTGTTCTGATTACTTTATTACAAAAGTAATTAGTTACAATACTAGTTACGTTACTTTTTTCTCCATGAAATTTATGAAATCCCAGCATACACGCTCCCGATAAATATTTGTTATTAAAGAATCATTTTATTCTCCCGCATCCCACACACACACGAGTCTCTACCTGCCCGCACCAGCACTCGCACAAGATCTTCTTCCGCGCTGCTGTTGCATCAGGTCTCTCGGGAGCAGGTCTCCACTGGCAACTAGTAATCAAATTACAGTAACGCGTTACTAAGTAATGCGTTACTGCCCAACACTGGTTACAACTAACCCCACATTAGTTTGTGGCCCACACACAATTGACATTTCATTTCACATGTCATTAAAAAAAAATGTAAGTACTGTTGTTGTTTTTATGTAAAACCTAATAGACCCTATAAGATATTGTAATACCAGGTGCTCTTGACACTGACCACTCCCAGTTGGCCTCTCCATGATTAGCTTTACAAGTTTTCAACCAGTAAATGGCATCTCAGTTAACCAAAATAATCTCTCAGATGAAACTCTCGTGTTTTACCGGGCCGTTTGTTCAGGTAGGTTTTAGACACTAAAAAGCTCTTTTTAAACGGGGTATTTCCAGCAAGTTGTAAACATGCTATTGTGCAGCCTCTATTGAAAGGATTTCATCTTGACCACACTGTGCATAATAACTACCGGCCTATCTCTAAACTGACATTTATCTCAAAGGTTTTGGAGGAGGTTTCACTGTTAACTTCCCAGCCAAAAATCTGATCTCACAGTGATCTCCCCATGAGCTCCTAGGATACTCATGATGTGGTCACAATGTGAGGTGACAGTGAGCTTATAGTGTAACCTCACAGCGCTCTCACTGTCTGTGCTCATACCATGTGAGACCACTGTGATATCATTGTGTTACACTCTCAATCTGTTAGTTAAGTGTGAGCTCACTGTGATCCAAAATGTCTCTAATATTGTTCAGCTATATCACAAACTTTGTATAGTCACAAAAAAATATTAAAGCTATGCCATGTCTTTATATCACTTTTTATTTTT